TCTGTAACTGTTTAGTAGAGCTAGAAGCTGGCTCACTGAGGATTTGTTGCGAACACACAGCTTCAAGGCAATTGCTAATTACTCCCAGTAGTATGGAACCACTAGCTGATTTAGATACTGCAGTATTCATCTGGATGACTCCAGAGGTATTGACTGCAGTGTAGTCAACAGTCTCTTCCATCACTGTGGATCCAGGCCAGGATTTAGGGAGGCTGTGTGCAGTGCTATTCAGCAGTACAAGCTATTTTATTTAGTGTGGGAGCTAGGGAGAACTACCATCAGTGTGCAGCAGCCTCGATATAGACCTCGTTGCCTGTGAACCCAGATCAATCTCTTCTCTGCCAAGGGGGAGAGTGCATTGATTACGGGCACTTTGGCATTCCTGTGCCTACCCCAAAGGGCTTGACTTAAACACGTAAAGGGAATGTTGTTACCCATTTACAGACTCTGAGAGCGAGGGAGCATGACTTGCATGCGGCCTCACAGTCTGTGGCAGAGTTGGGAATTGAACAGAGATTTCTTGAGTCCCCTTCACCACAAGGCCATCCTTCCTCGGTGAGGATTGGGCACATACTTCCTGAGTTAACCTGAGTTAACCTTGGCTCTGGGCAGAAGGCATGAAGAATGTGATGATTTGACATGACTTTGACCCCAAACCTCATTTCTGGCTGAGTTTTTTGCTTTGAATCTGAGGGCTTGTTTCAACTCGGAATTCAAGGGGCGAGAAGCCTCGGATGCAAAATGTAAGGGGTAAAAATGTGGAACGAAGCCCTTGGAAAGGAACCCCTGGAACTGAGCCCAGCTTGGGAGTGCATGTTTGTTTTCTTCCTAGTAGTGTCACTTGAATGTCTGGTTTGTATTTACTACTTTATAAATAAATAAATTCAGTGGGTTGCCCGAAGATTGTGAGCAATCTTCTCCCACTGCCCTGTGCTTCTGGGGCGTTGGACCGCTAGAACAAACAAGCAAACTCCTTAAAAGTTAAACACTCCAGTGGTAACAGCTGGAGATTACACAGAGTTGAGTGAATAATTGAGGACCGTTTTGAGAGCAGGTTTAAAAATCTTTGGTCCTGACTCTGCTTTCTGAAGCTGGAGCAAATCGGGAGGACTGTGACCTTTACTCTGCTACCCTCAGGGGAGGAGAGTTCAGAATCCGGATTCTGATGTCAGGAAGCCTTTTGGCATGGCTGTTGATTTTCATTTCCAGTGTGACACTGTTTGGAACGGTTGCCGCCCTTTTAACTGTGAATGGGTTTGATGGCAGTCCAGTGTCCTCCATCTGTGCACACTGCTCATGCTGCATCAATGGGAGCTGCATATGTGGATGAAGGCTGTGTTACGGGGATCTGTGTGTGTGGTCAGTACTCGAATGGGGAGACCCCTAAGGAGAATTCAGGAGTGAGCAGTAATGGTGCTGATCCTGGTGGGTGATTTTTCTCTTGAGTCAGCATGTGAATCAATGCCCCTGCATGGGGTTAGAGCAGGGGTGGGCAAACTGTGGCCCGGGGGCTGCATCTGGCTCTCTAGATGTTTTTAAATCTGGCCCTTGAGCTCCCGCCAGGGAGTGGGGTCTGGGGCTTGCCTCACTCCGGCGCTCCACCCAGGGAGCGGGTTCAGGGTCTTGCCCCACTCAGCGCAGCTTCCGGAAGCAGCAGCATGTTCCCCCTCCAGCTCATGTGTAGGGGCAGCTAGGGGGCTCTGCACACTGCCCCCGCCCCAAGCGCTGCCCCGGCAGCTCCCATTGGCCGGGAACCAATGATGAATAGGGACCAGGAGCCTCGTCCAAATAGCTGGGTCGCGTACTGCAAGGGTGCATGTGGGGGATGGAGGAGGAACAGCAGCCCTACTGCATCCTCTCTGAGGTGAATCTGTGTAGCAATGGATCCGTTGGGCCTTGCTCCAGTTCCCTTAGCCCTGGCACAACCCCTCTCTCCACTGGTATATTAAAACCACCTGGGTTTGGGTGCCAGGGATCCTCTGTCCTGGTATAACATTGTCCCATCTCCTTCAGTTCATTCAAATCCTTTCTTCAGACACAATAGTCCTTTCCTTGGTAGCCGACCATGGAGCAGAAATGGAGCGGGGAGCGAGCCAGAGAGGGTGGGGAGACTGAACATTGCCGGGGCGGAGCAAAGGTAGCTGCAAGTGGCGATGAGGGTCAGCCGAGGTAGGACAAAGCCGGGATAAAGGTGCAAGAAAGTGGGGAGATCCTGACTGCATTCAGGAGAGGAAGTGGGGCTGGGCAGCCGGAGCTTAGACAGGCTGAAGGAGAGAGGGAGGGAGAGATTGCAGGGTCAAGGCATTTGGTCCCCAGACGGAAGAGGCGTTCATTCAAGCAGGCGTGAGCCTAACAGCTGTTTTGAGCCTGCCTTCCCACTAGCAAAGCGTGCCTTCTGTGGAGTGAATCGCTAGGTGGGAGGATGGATGTCGGAGGCTCTGGGAAGACAACTAGATGAGTCAAGTCACCTTTTTGATTAACAGGTTTGCTGCTGTTTTACTACACAGCTATAAAGCAACAATCAAACGACATGGAAATAAACATTCTGTGAAAGCGAACTGGGTTGCTCCTCTAAAAGGAAGCTTTTGGGGGACGTGGGTTTTTTAATTGAGGGTGGGGTGTCTTTAAGAAAGCAAACTAGGGGCTGCTCCACGGAAAACGAAATTGACACACTTAATCTCTTGCTAGCAGACATATGCGTAGCTGGCATGGCGTACGGCAGTGCCGCTCCTCCTTTGGGAGTTGAGATGCTTGAATTGGACCTCCAAAAATAAATGAAATCTTGACCCTCTTCAGATCTGGGATCTTGCCTTTGTTCTTGTGCCAGCCCGTGCTGCTAGCAGAATGAGGAGCTGAAGGGTAATATCTCTCCCACTGCACAGCCTCTGTGGTTCCGGCTGCTGTCGGCAGCAGCCTGAGAGATGGGGCAATGCTCCGTTCTGCTCCCTAGCATTTTCGGAGCTCCATCCAGCTGATTAACAATAACTCCTCATTTGTCTCCTTCCGAAGATCACACAGCTTTGGCATCACACTTCTGCAAGGGAAAAGAACTCCCAAGCTACAGCTGCACCTTAGCACTCATCCATATCCCCCTTGGGGCAGGCTGCAGCTTTTTGAACACTTCCGAAATTGGGGGGTGGAGGAGCAGGGGGAAAGCCAGCACTTTATTAGCAGCAAGAGAAAAATGATGATCCAAGAGTGGAGTGAAGGGTGGAGTGAAGTGAAGGGGAAGGGATGGCCTTGGGGTAAAGGGGCTGGACTGCGGTGCTGCAGAAGGTCTGAGATCAAAGCCCAGCTCTGCTTCAGACTTACCTGTGTGACCTCAGAGGAGTCCCTTAAGATTAGTCTATTATCCCCATTTCACAGACTGGGATTTAAGAACTTCCTCTGGCTTGTCTATCCAAATTGTGAAGCGTTCAGTGTGCGCTGTCTGTGCCAGCAGCACCTAGCGCAACGGAGCCCTGACCTGGCTTCGCTCCTAGAGGCTGTACTGGACTGTAAGTCCTAGTGGCAAGGCAGGAGTGAGACTTCAGAGTTGAGAAAGTGATTGGCGTTCTCTCTGGCAGATGGACAGTCACTGCTGATAACTCTCCACCTGCTGTTTTCAGAGGATTTGAAGGCTGGGTTGTAAAAGGAGGGAAATGTGACCCAACATGTGGTGCATTGCTTTCCTTTATCGTTAGCTGTAACAGCTGTACCCCTCACGCCCTACCTCCACCTGCTTCCTTACTGTTCTTTCCCTCTGCACTAGAAGGGGGCTTGACCGGCATGGTGCTGGAGACTTACTGATGTGAAAATCATTAGGATCCCACCACCTCTGGGCCTGATTCTGCAGCTTCTGCCTGCACAGAGTTCCCCTCTGAAGTCCTTCCGGAGACCTGGGATCTGTCTCTCTCCACTGTCTGTCTACTGTGTCTTTTTTTTCATACACATTCCTTTTTTTGTATATAACTTGGGCAGATCAATAAAGGTGAAAAAAATGAATTGTCAGTGTTCATAACTTTGTCTTCAATTGCTGTGTGCAGAGTAGCCACCTTATTGCAGGAACAGCTTCAGGGTGCAGCAAGGGGGTAGCACAGGCAATGTATGGAGGTGCATACTGGAGTAGCTTTCACTTCTAGGTTATAATGTAAGTAGGGTGACCAGATAGCAAGTGTGAAAAATTGGAAAGGGGATGGGGGTAATAAGAGCCCATATTTTAAAAAAATAAAATAAAAAAAGCCCCAAATATCGGGCCTGTCCCTATAAAATCGGGACATCTGGTCACCCTCAGTGTCAGTAGTAACTGGAAGGAGATGCACTATGGCCTATGTGAAATGAGTCTGGTGTTCTCTCTGTGAGCTTGATCCAAAGCACTTTGAAGTCAGTGAAAAGACTTCAGTAGGCTTTGAATCTCGCTCTTTCTACTGGATCCTGCTTGGTGCTTCTGATTCTCAAAAACCCAACTACAACTAAAATGTGTGTCTAGCCCTTTGCAACCTACTGAGATTCATTTATAGCCAGTGGCCGTCACATCTTGATGCTCATGGTGGCCTTTCTCCCAGATTCAACGATCATTAAGATCAAAAGTCCCCAGCTGAAATAAACCTTTACTGAGACTTCACCTCTGAACATCCTGGACTCCACAGCCAGAGGGGAGTTGACAGCTTGCCCACCAGAGCCATTCATTGACCTGGCCAGCATTTTTTGTCCAGAAGATGAATAACCCTCTTCTGGATGAAATGTATGGCATACAGCAGAGTAATAGAACAGGAAATGCATCCGAACCAGCAGCATTCCCTCTATAGGACTAGATAGTTTAGGAGATGAACAGAACAAAAAGCAAAGGAGTACAATTATGCCCTCTAAAGGATTGGAGCATTACTTATAGTTTATGGTCTCTGTGCTACGTTGGGATGATCAGAGCAAAAAATTGTCTTGATGTCATGGATTAGAACCTGTTAAACGCTGCCCACCTGGATCTGATGTTGATACAAGCTCTTGATGGTTTTATTTTTCAGGGTGGTGAAGGAGGAGATCTCGGATGACAATGCAAAGCTACCATGCTTCAATGGAAGAGTGGTGTCCTGGGTAGGTTGGTCTGTGTACGTGTGCTGCGCGGTGGCTGGGATCTAGCTTTAGCTGGCATGTGAGTACAGCTGGAAAGTCCTGGCCTCGTGCCTACAAACAAAATCAGAGTATGTGACAGTACAGGAGTTTGCCTCTTCCCCCCACTCCCCAATACTCTCTAGTTTTGAGGTATTGACTCAAACTCTGCCTTTAAAGAATTTATGCCTTTGCAAGGGTGCGATCATGCATATTCACGTGTGACTAGCTTTACTAGTATGAGTGGTCCCACGGATACCAGTGGGACTACTTGCTTGAATATCGTTACCTATGTGCATTACCTTTGTAGAATTGGGCCCAGACTAAGTAAGTAGAATTGCGTGGGCATGTTTCTTCAGTTAGGCCACGATTTTCAAAAACCAGGGGCTGGAGTTGGGCGTGAAGATTCGTGGCCTGATTTTCAGAAGTTCAGGCACCGAGGGTCTCCAATAGCGTTCTGCACTGTAAAAATCCGGCTGCTTATGATGCATCTAAATACCCATTATTGAAAATGTTACCCTTCTACTCTAAGCTTTGCCTGTAGTAGTTCTTCCCAGAAGCATCCAGGTTGTCAGTGGCAAGACTTAATGAAATTTATGAGGGTCTCTCTTTTGCCTGAGACTGCAAACTGCACAAATGCATACTGATTATATTTTCAGTTGCCGCGGATTGATGTTTCTGCATTTTAGGGGGTGTTCTTCTAATTTGCAAGGATTTCAGAATTGTACCTTTGCTTCAAAGCCCTGTGATCTGCAGATCCGTTCTCTCCACCCCATTTATTTTTGAATGTTTTGAGGGCCACAAGTCTGGGGGGGAGGGGGGGGGGGAAGGAAATTAAACTGCACGAGAACTTCAGAAATGTTCAAGGAATTTTTTAAGACTTTGTCCCGCCCTCTAAAGAAAGCATCAGGGTGAATTTGTATGTAGAGCTCTGGAGGAAATCTCATATAATTCATAGGAGAGGGATAAATGTGGTGGTATAACAAAAGAATTGAGTGCATCCTTTTGTCTATGGTACATTACTAACAATAGGCAAGAGTTCTGCTGAGTAAGTCTGTCTGTCTGATTTTTGGAAGGGTCAGTTTTAAGCCTGCTTTGATATCCATTGATCTAGAAGATCATTTTTTTCTTTCAAATGTATTATTTATTTGTACTATGGTCGTGCCTGGTGGCATCAGACAAGATTTGGGCCCCATTGTACTAAGCACAATGCATACACCTACATACACAGAGTAAGAGATGGTCCCTGCCTGAAATAGCTTACAGTCTTAATAGATGAGACAGGCAAAGGGTAGGAAGGGAAAGAGACGGAGGGTGAAGTGGCTTTCCCAGAGATATAGAGCAGATCAGTGTCAGAGGTGGAAATAGACCCCAGATCTCCTGAGTCCCTATCCCTCAGTCCACACCCCTTACATTCTTTCTCCTTTTCTGCGTTTCTCTTAATCAGTGTGCTACAAAGGCCCTTTTGCAGCTGGCTAATTGTAGTTCTTAATTACAATCTGCTGCATGTTGTATCTATGTGCGGCCCTCTCGATGCCTTCCATCCTGCACACAGGTGACTTGCTCTCAGGGCTGCGCTGAAAAAGACCCTCATTGCGTAGCTGGTTTGCTCGGCCCAGTACCCAGCTCTGCAGTCGGATTGTGGTCGGCTTGGCAATGATACAGAACCTGTGACTTGAGCAATCTTCCCCAAGGCTTACCGTGCAAGATACCTTCCTGCCCAGCTGGGGATTAGCTTGGCGGTGTAGATGCCAGAACTGCGTTGTGTTTGTTAGGCCATTTTATGAGGATTTTGCTACGCTTGGCTACAAGTTTATAAGTCTCAGGGGTGGCTGATTCACAGAGGAACGTGCTGTTAGCCGCCGGAGAGGGGCTCTTATGAGCCTTCAGCTCTGGGCTTTTTTTTTTTTTACGGCAAAAAGGATCTAGCAAGCTCATGTCAGTTTACTATCCTCTGATTATTCAGTCTGAGTGAGACATCAGATGCCCTCCTATTGCTACCCAGCAGAAGATGAGAATACTAATGATTGCGTAAGAGCTGCAATTTTAATACTTGATTGCATAATGAGGAGCACGGTTTTCAAACGTACGCCCCTTGCTGGGATGTCCAAAGCCTGCACTTGGATACTGAAATCTGGAAGTAGGGATACCATTCGTCCTTGCACACAGGGCCAACGCAAGGTCTGCATGACTCAAGTCTCCAAAACAGGGCTTAAGTTGGACTTGAGTGATGTCCAATTGCCCCTACATACTGTTCCGAGCACCTAAATGCAGGGCATGAACATTGTGTTAGGGCCTTGGCTTTGACAGGTATGTCCGATAGGAATCAACAAGTATAGCATTCACCACTGAGAGAGTAAGCTCAGTGAAATTTGTTACTACAGTCTGTGGGGCTAGTAGTCAAGGGACTGGTAGGTAGCCAGTGTCTACAGGATTGCCAGCAGCCAATAAATATTTTAAAAAAAAATGGTTCTAGGGTTATTTTAGTGGGGAAAATCCAAGCAGATAGGTTCATCTGGACCCAGCAATAACTGTAAGGGTGCATATGCGCCAGCCATTGTCAGCTGTCTGCCATGCTCTGTTCAGTGCGGTTAGCTCTGTAGGGATTGGCTTTGTAACCCTCTCGTGTATGGGACAAGATCCTCAGCTGAGTTCCGTTGCTTTCAACTGAGCTATGTTGACTTTTATACCAACTGAGGATCCAGCCCATAGATATACTTCTCCCACCCCAAAGAGAGCACGGGGGTGGGGTGGGGGGGCTAAAATATTTCAGTACCTCAGTCGTCTCACAGAAACACTGCTGAGGAAACCTGTCTCTGCATTCTACGAACCTCGCTGGGCTGCTCGGAAAGTCGCTGGGCCTGTCTGCTGGAAGACGTGACTACCCGCGTTTTGGCTGTCAAAGTCAAAGGAAACCTGGGTGACGTGTTCTAGCCTGCAGTAGAATGCACATGGGCTGTACGCTGTAGAAGGAACGTGCAATGTGTTTTTAAACGTCTGTCCGTTTGGGGGTGTGGGAGGGGGTGTTTGACATCTGTATCTGCTGACTCAGACATACAACGTCATGTCTGGCTGTGAGAAACCAACTATATGCGTTCATACTGGGCCTGAGACTGCTCTGTGTGCAGCTGATGAGTTTTACCGTCCTCTTTAGCGAGAGCAGGATTGGGCCTGCAGACTGATTTCTCTCAGCTGTACTCTACAGTATTCTCTTTCTCTCCTGTTTTAAAGGGACACACATTTTAAACAGCATAGTCACAACCATTCTCTAGCCCCACTTCGGCAAAGCACAGGCTTAGGGTTAAGTTCCCCCATGTTCAGCAAAGCACTCAAACTTGTGTTTAGCATTAAGCGGATGCTCAAATGTTTTGCTGAATCGGGATCTTTAACGTTAAAATGGCTATGGCCCAAAATGGGAACGTTCCCCAGGCTTTAAATAGTCACATAAAAGAAAAATCCAACCCAGCACTTTGTCACCGAGAAATCTTTATTTAAAAAGCTATTTATATAGGTCCTACGCAGCTTGCTTTGTGTGCCGTCCTTGTGGCCCTGCAGCAGTAGATGACTAATAGACGCTGGGATTTTTCAAAGCCGACTAAAGGATTTAGGTAGCTAAAGCCCTTAGATGGCTTTGAAAAGCTCAACTACTATTCCCAGAAGTGTGCTGATACAAATCCTTGATGCTACCAAGGAATCAAGGGAGTAATCAAGCAAGAAGGGACCATTTAAATATCTGCCTTCATAACAGAGGGAGAAATCTCCGTTTTTGCTACATGGACCAAGTAACTAGGGTTGCCAATTTCCTAATTGCACAAAACCGAACGCCCTAGCCCCACCCCTTCTCCAAGGCTCTCCTCACTACATTCCCCCTCCCTTGGTGGCTTGCTGTCCCCCACCCTCACTCACTTTCACTGGCCTGGGGCAGGGGGTTGGGGTGCGGGAGGGGGTGAGGGCTCTAACTGAGGGTGCAGGCTCTGGGGTGGGGCCAGAAATGCAGGGTTCAGGGTGCAGGAGGGAGCTCTGGGCTGAGGCAGGTATTTGGGGGGTAGGGGGGTTGGGTTGCAGGAAGGGGTTGAGGGCTCTGTCTGAGGGTGTGGGCTCTGGGGTGGTGCTGGGGATGAGGAGTTCCGGGTGTGGGGTGGGCTGCAGGTTGGTGGGGAGAGAGAGGGGGTCAGGGTGTGTGAGGGGGCTCTGGGCAGGGGGTTGGGGTGCGGGGGGGTGAGGGCTCTATTTGGGGGTGCAGGCTCTGGGATGGGGGGTTTGGGGTGCAGGAGAGGGCTCCAGGTTTGGGGGGGTCGGGGCTCAGGCTTACCTCCGGTGGCTCCCGGTCAGTGGCGCAGCGAGGGGGCTAAGGCAGGCTTCCTGTCTGCCCTGGCTCTGTGCTGCACCCTGTAAGCAGCCAGCAGGTCCAGCTCCTAGGCAGAGGTGCAGTAGGCAGCTCTGCGCCTGTTGCTCTCGCCGCAGTTCCTGGCCAATCAGAGTGGGAAGCCAGTGCTTGGGGCGGGGGCAGCGTGCAGAGCCACTTGGTTCCCCCCCCCCAGCCTAGGAGCTGGACCTGCTGGCCGCTTTCGGGGCACAGCGCAGTGCCAGGACAGGTAGGGACTAGCCTGCCTTAGCTCCACAGCACCGCTCCCCGGACTTTTAACGGCCCGGTCGGCTGTGCTGACTGGAGCCACCAGGGTCCCTTTTCGACTGAGTGTTCCAGTCAAAAACTGGGCACTAAACTGTTCCCGTTTTCAAGCATGTTTTTTTGCACTGGAGAATAAAACCAACATTGAACAAATACCGATGATCCAGTCAGACCGTCCAAGGGCAGTAGAACCAGTCTAGAGACAGACAAGAGACATCTAGGTACCATAGGAGCTCTGTTCCATGGCTGGATCCATTGTTGTGGTATCTGAGTGCCTGATGGCGGTGCTCTTCTCTCTGATTGGGTCCTGATCTCTTTCGTGTAAATAGATACTGCCAGGCTGGAGGAGTGACCC